CCCACAATGACGGTCGAGTAGACGCGATACTTCGTATGTGAATTTAATCAGGTGGTGGAGAAGGATGCCGACTGCCTGTATCGGCACCTTGGCGCCAGGTTCACGGGCCAACGGCATCTGGAAAGGGACATCAACGGCGTCGACTGGAGCTACAGTTTGATGGAAGACAAGACGTGTGAGGGAGTCGCTCGTCTCTACTTCTTCTTCCTGATTCGTTCGGCTGCCGCGAATCGAGCTCGTCGTGACGCCATTTGACGTACCTTGGCCCGGCCCAACTGCCTAGCCTCGATCCAGCTGTCCACACGACATGTCTTCCTCGTTGAGTCGGCTTTCGACGATTCTGCCCAACTCTTCAGCCGGACTCGTCTCCGCTGGAGCCTGAGGTTTGAGTTCGACATGCACCACGACCTCGTGGTGGCCGACCTGGCCCGAGCGCCATGACTTCTGGCTCGAGGTCGGTATCCATTTTGTCGTCAACCATTGCGCCTCAACCCGTTTTGTCGTGGTCACGCAGGACAATGTGTTGATTCATCCACACCGTCTGGCCACTCAGACGAGTCCAAAGGCGGCTCGGAGCTACGAGACCTTTGCAGCGGGTCTTAGTCACGAGACCGGCAAGTTGACTGGCCTCGCCTCCAGTCGTCTTCTGGTGATGAGTCTGCCGATGACGCGTGGAGAAACAAAGTTTCGGTGAAGAGTATCTGAACGCCATGTTTGTATAACTTTCCGACGTATTTCCGGCAGCAAACCTGCGAAACGGAAGGTCCAAGGCCTCGATCTCACCGGTCCGTCTCATCGATGTAGAGCCGGCAAACGAAACACTAACAATGGCGGCCATTACCGACGTCAGTTAAAGTTGTAGATAGTGACAGATCCGGTTCAAACGCGGTGGCAGAGCCAATTTGGCGAATCGCTGCTAACGTGATAAAAATCTTATTCACCCAATTTCGTTGATATGATGAAGAACTGCTATTAGAATTTTCCCACAACCTCAAAATTCCATTGAATTTCACTGAGACTTTCTTCGCAAAATACCCTCTTATACAGCCTGGACTGGGCTGGACTGTAGTTTCGACCTCGCCTCAACTGGCCTCGTCAGTGCCCCAGCCAAACTTGAGCCCAGATTCTGGTAGTATAGTATATATTCTTGATACGTCAACCGTTCCATCACACTGCCCCCGCAGAAAGTGATGTTGAAAAGGCTTGATTTTACTTGAAAATTACTTCTGACCTGTGACCCAAGGGCACTAGTGGCAGTTTGGCGTAGTGGTTGATGTGTCGACAGTGTATGCCGCCCTACCACAATCTATGTCCGAGTTCCGCTGGAGATGCTGATGAAACCTAGACGAGGTCAAAACTGCATTCCCCTCCTACTTGGATGAGAATACCTTTTGGGAAACAAGGCTATTTAAAATTGAAAGAAAACGTAGCAACATTCAACAATCGGTCCTTCATCATCTTAAAGGGAATTGGGTAAATATAGTTTCAATACAAGATCTACTTGTAGCCACAAAGTCTACTCATAAAATAAAACTTGTCATGTGGTGCATAAAGGCTGGAGGCAAATACAACGAAATACGCATGGCCAGTCTGAGGATAGACGTCATACTTGCCGGTCAATTTTATCTTTCAGAACTCGTCCAATCAGGAAGATTAGGATCCTTGATATGTGACGAATGCTGGTTAGAAGGCTAACCCTGGAAGGGGGCCGGTTTTGGAAAGAAAGTTTTAGTTGAAAATCCTCGTATTTGAGAAAAGCCTTGACAAATAAAAGGTAAAGCTCTCCTTTTCCTTGGATCATCTCTGACAATACTGCAATATTTGGACGGAATAAAAGGAGGACTATGCCATCTGTTCAGCGAGAAAATACCACTTCTTTGTGACTTTTTGAGCTAGTCCTGAGGAATCGTTTGGCGACAGCACAATTAACACAATGCAACTATATGAACTTAAACAGCCCAGACCGACTTAAATGGTGAAGGATTTATATTTGAGTTTTTCCCACAATGTTGCGAATAGACTTAAAGGTTATCCCATCCCTGCTGGAGCGGATGGCTGGACTGCCGTCTTGAGCTCGTCTTAATGAGTTTAAACTGAATTTGATACAGAATCGTGAGCATCCTGGTTCCGTTACCCCTCTTTTACAAGGCCACAGGTATCAGTCCGTCACAGCGCTGATTTGACATCTAAAACAAGCAAACGCCCCAAGCAAATCATATTTATTTGGACTGTCGCATAAGTAAACCGGCTATGTATATACAAGCTTAGTTGTTTACGAGATTGCTAGTAAGTTATGAATGAGAATTTAATCGCTTAAGGTGATTTAATATCAAGTGAAATCTAATAGCATCATCAGATTGTGGAGAAACTCAACTATCAACCTCTAAATCATCTTAAACGACTTAGGATGACAGAATTGTTATATAAGGCAGCTTTTCAGCCTGCCAGGTTGCTTAATAGAAAAATGTTGGTTGGGTCACTTTCCACAAAACGAGCTTATCCATGTCACAGGGTTATTGCAATGACTATTGTACCGAGGATTTCAATTGTAGTCATGGCAACCGAATATTCAAAAGCTTTGCGATGCAGTGGGCTTACACCGTCAAAAGCACTATCTATTCACAGAGTTTCAGTGAGAAGCAGGCCGCAATGAGTCGTCATTTTACAAGCTAATGACTATCCTGTGAGAGCACAGAAGACATGATTCTCAAGGCAACATATGCAATATACCATTTAAGGCATACATGTTATGAAATAATCCAATATTAAACAATTGAGGTGGGGTATTCTTTCCATAAGCATTCACTTTTAATATCCCAATTAAGCGCTTATATTTCACCTAAATTTTTTAATTATCTTATAATTCATTGTGTTGCCATTGCAAACTCTTTCGCCCTCATCCAAATCTGTTATAATCAGAAATTATGAGTTGGTTTTAAACATGCTCCTGCTTTTGTAACGTGTATAAACCAAGTTACTGAATAAAGGATAGTTTCAAATATTGGATATGCTGTAGAATTGGCTTTATTTCATTTTGAAATGAATATAAAACTCGTCAAATATAGGAAAAGTTCACCAAAGTATAATCGTTTCGACATCACCATACCTGACTAATAGCTCGATCATTCTAGCTCAATTAAGATGATTTGAAGTCTTTTATTGGGGCGTCTCCCATAATTAAACGATTAGACCAGTCTGAGACTGAATTTCATATGGTCGTTCGTATCAAAATATTTTCGCATTCAGGCTAGACCAGACCAGACCAGACCAGACCAGATCAGTTTCCACCTTTTGTAGCATAGTCCACCTGCACAGTATTGGCTTCAAAACAAACATTGTGCAGTGAGAT